TGGCCTCAAAGCATTGTTTTCTAAGACAGAGGTCTGCAAGATCTCGATAAGCAACAAACACTCTGCTATGAAGCTAGGCACCGCTGCTCCCTCACCTCCCCCGTCAGCACTGGAGACCTCCAAGGACTGCAGGAAGCGGGGCCACTAACCGGAGGCACGTTTCGCTGTTTAGGCAGCGGCGCTTAAGAGTGAAGCCATCTGCAGAGCCGCAGGTGCCAGCAACAGCAGCAACTGATTAGCTGTGTGGCCTGGGACAAGTGACTCACCCTCTCTGATCCCTGCAGCCCAATTTTACAGAGGAGGAGCTCCACAGGGCGTCCTCTCAAATGTTGAGGATTACACACCAAGATGCATGTAAACGCTTGACACTAAGTGAGGGAATCATGTTACCCGTTACAGCCAGCCTCTCCGAGCTAGAGCTCTTTGCCAAACTGAGGGAAGAGAAGTCCCAAGCTACGATTCCCATCTTGTCTTTGTCTATTTAATTCCCTTTATTTTCCAAACTGTGTGACCAGGTTTGAACAGAGCTACTGTTTGAACAGTTTAAGATGCCTTGTGACACTGCTGGGACCTTCCTCCTGCCGGGGACTCGGGGACTCGTCAGTGAAATCAAAGCACTTTCTAAATTGCTGATTTTCATCCTGGGCCCGAGGACAGGATCCAGGAGCCAGCTTACTGCAGGCGCAGATGGGCTCTGACGGGTGGGGCTTGAAAACAAAAGAAAAATGCTTTCTGATGAAGGGACTAGATGGGACTAACTCCTGCTATCTAGAATGAAGATCTGCAAACACACCAGCAGCAAACTCTATCAAATCCAGCTCAAGAAAACCTTCGGGCTGCTAATGTAGGTTTGCAAATATAGCAACCATAATGAAATGGCTGCTTTTTAATGATTTCCTATAATGGTGTTTATATATGGAAGCTTTTTTCCCTATCGAAGCAGTTTAACTGGAAAATGGCAGAGGAGTATGGAGAGGCAGACGTCCGGTCCTGATGAACACACCTGGGGAAAGCACCCTCCAGCAGCCTTCCTGTGCCCCACCTCCTTGCTGTCCCTGCACCTGCCTTCCCCAGGGACCGGTAGGTGCGGGCCCTCTGCCTCCCGAGCTCTCCTCCTACCCCTGCTCCTCACCTGTCTCACTCCCGCCTGTCCCCTCGGCTTCCGCTAGATGCGACCTCAGGGATGTCTTCCCCGAGGCTCCTGCCCCCCCGGGCTGTGGCTAGGAGCTGCTGTCTACCTCCTGTCACGGGCCTCACGTCACTGTGGGTCATTTCCCCTTGCTGGTCTGCATCTCCAGAGAACCGTGAGCTCCAAGCCGGTGTTCGCTGCTCCCCGGTATCTGGGTGCCTCCCCTGCGTGGGCGCTGTTGGAACTGGCAGCCAGGACAGCTGACGTCCCTGCCCTCGTGGAGCCGGCTTTCTAGAATCTCGCAAGCAACTGGTAACAACTAGCAATACATGGTCAAAGAAAGGCACGTACAGCACATCACCAGGGAGTGCTAAGTGCTGTGAGGAGAAGCGAACCCAGAAAGGGAGGAGAGTGCCTGGCAGTGAGGGTGAGGGAAGGCCAGCGTGATCCACGCAGGCCTGGAGGAAGTGGAGGGTCGGTTCAGGGAAGGAGCACTGCAGGAAGAAGGAGCAGCTGGTCAGGTGTGAGGGGCTGCATGGAGGCCAGCGTGGTCAGAGCTGGGAGAGAAATGGGGATGGGTGGGGAGGATGTGGCCCAAGGTGGGGGACACCCAGTTCTGTGAGGGCCTACAGTCCGGGGCCAGGAGTCAGGGCATCATTCTCGGTGTGAGAGACAGGAGTGTGCGATGACAGCGATCTGAGGGCAGATCCTGTGTCTCACACCCCTGGTCCCTCACCCAGCACCCAGCGAGTTGTTGAATAAACGAATCAAGGCCGCCTCTGTGGGCAGAGAACACACACGCAGACATGGGGCAGATGGGATCCCCCCCTCCAGGAGCTCAAGTCTTGTTGGCAGAGACGCTCTCCCTGGCTATAATGAACGTATATTTGTAACGGGAAGAAGGATGAAGAAAGGATGGGAGATTCATCATTTGGGAAAATGAAGCCAGCTCACAGCCCAGACAGGCAGACACCAGCTCCTGGGTAGACAGCCTGAGCTACTGGGCGCTCTGTCAGGAGTCCCACGGTGAAGATGCCCGGCCCACTGAAGTAGGTTCATCCCTCTACTTCCCAACCTTACTTGATTGATAAACTTTATTGGACTGTGGGGCACTTATTTCATAAAATGTATGTTCAGAGACATGAATGGAGGGACCGGCGTAGAAGTATCTCTGCTTGAGTGGGAACTCCTCGGCTGTCAGCTCCCGTCCCACCCCCGAGGCTGGAAGGCAGAGCCCAGAAGCCTGGGGCCACTAGGGTTAGAGACTGTGGGGTTGGTATATAGCAGCATGTGGGAGTTGGGCGCGCAGCTAGGATGGTCCCTGAGGTTGTGTGTGTTATAACTCGAGGCCCAAGAGAGGGGTTCAGGTGAGTTCAGAGAGGCAGTTTCAGACTGAAGCCTAGAGCCTGAGGACCTAGGAGAGGCCTCCACTCCTTACTCCATTCCTGTTGGGATCACATCGGTATCAGTATACAGCTCTCCATGACTTTTTTGGTCTCAGTGCCCATCCCTCCTGCTGACCCCTTCCTTTCCAGAGCTTTCTCTGGCCCACTGACTTCCCAGACATGGCTCTCTTCCCTTCCTCCTGCGGGACTGCTTGAAGGACTTGCTGACTGCTTCACTTGTCCATCCCAGCTAATACCTCTGAACACACACTATGTGCCAGGCCCACTGACAGGCTCTGGAGATCTGCTGGTAGATAAACATACTTCTGCCCAGTGGAATTTAGGGGGAGAGTCAGTTGAGCAAAGAGCTAGAAATACATCATTTAAAATTCCTGTGCAATAGAAGGAGACAAAAGGGGTAGTGCCAGAATGAACACAGGAAGCAGCAGGCTGATGCCCATGAGATGTTTTCAGAGCGGGTGCATTTAAATTGAGACTAAAATGATGGCGGGGGGTGGGGGGCACATCCCTGCCAGAAGCTCTGCTGGGTCTCCTCCTTGGCTAATTGCCCCAGTTCTCCACATTCCTCACTCGACCACAGCCTCCCACCGCTTTAGTTACTGCACATAACCCAGTGTCTCCTCACTGCTTTTCTTCAGCCTAGACATCTCCTCTTGGCTTCTCATGGATACCTGCTGCCTTTGGAAGCATCTCCCCCCAGACACCTCGAGATACCTCAAACTTACGCCCAAATGAAACACAGGCGCTCCACCCTGCACTCCCACTTCCTTCAAGTACAACAAGACAAAACTCGAAGCAAAACCACCTGGCTCTTTTCACTGAGCTCCCATGTTGGTGCTCGGCAGTGTAGTCCACCCACTGTGTCATCTAGACACTGAGAGAACATCTCCACATGCACATTTCCTTTTTCCCTCTTTCTCTAATCCTCCAGCAGATCTTGCCAACTTTAAATCTTTCTAGAGCTTAACTACCATCACCCTGAACCTAGCAATAATCATGCCCACTGAGACTTTAGCAATGGTTTCCTAGCTGGCCTTCCCCATTCATTCTTGATACACTGATTCTCTTTATCACAGAATGTTTGATTCAAAATGCAAACCTGACCATCGCATCCCCTTCCCCTACTACTCGAATCTTTCAGTGGTTTCTTGTGCATCTTTGATTAAAGTCAAACTCTCTAACATGGTCTATGAGATCTTGCATGCTCCGGCTCCCGCCTACCTCTCTTGCCTGCATCTCACACCTCTGGGCCCTCCACAATCTCTTTCCATCTCCTTGAACGCATCCACTCTTCCCACCCTCCCCTGAATGCATCTCCTCCTTTAACAGGTTAATTCCTATTTACCCTCCAGCTCTCGACTCAAATGTCACTTCTAGAAGCTCTTCCAGAATCTTAAACTGAATTAAATTCCTTTGATAAATTCATGGTACTATGCTCCTTAATGTTATAGCACTTTCAAAATTAATATAAATGTGCATTATATTTCAAGTCTCTCTCCCCAACAAAAGTCTAGAGTCTAAGAAATTTACACTATGTTTATTCCCCCATTTCCTAGTCCTTCTATCTTCCCTACATGTGAACATTTCCTAAGACGTGGTGCTCTTCCCTCTCTGACTCCACACCCTTTTGACCACAGAGATCTCCTTACCTCAGAACTTCAAAGCCTTTATCCCCAACCCTAATCTCTCCAAAGATCCGGTTAAGCATCTCCAAGTAGACCTGTGATTTTGCAACATTTTGTGGGTTGACTGAAGCGTACAGCAGAAACATTTCATTTGGCAACTTTCTACATACACACATAACTCAACAAATAAGTCTTATGAAGTAATACTGTCATTTCATTTTTTTCCTATTTGATTTCACTGAAAAAATATTTTTCATTTAATCTCAAGACCCACTAACACGTCATGACCTGCAGTTTAAAATACACTAAACCAAGTATTCCCAGATGGACATTTCTCTACAACCTCAAACACAATATATTTATTTCCCAACTCATTTCTCAACTGAACATCCTTACTAAGACTATGATCGTTCTCTTAGTCACTCAGGATCAACAGGTTAGAGTTATTTTGGATTCCTTCTGAGCCAACAGTTGTTAAAACCAATTGGTTCTTCCACCACAATGTGTCGCCACCCACTCCATCCTTCCCGTTCCTGCCCTCGTAGCTCAGATTTTACTGGAACTCGGAACACTACAATAGCCTTTTCAGCTGGTTCCCCATCTCCAGAATGTTCAAATAGAGGTGATCTATGTCTGAATCACAAACATCAGGACGGAAAGCTCATTCACCCCTTTAGTTCCGACACAGTAGCATGTAAGGGACTCAAATAGGTGTGCTTCCATCTACTCACCAAACTCGTTGACTAATTAAATTTTACTTCAGGCTGCCTCCTATTTCTAAAATTTCCATTACAATCCAGAAACCAAACTCTGGCTTCATGCAGTGGCAGGCAGGCTCACCCATGTCAGCAGTGACCATGGTGGATTGGTTTTCGGGGATGGAGACAGAGGTCTGGTCTTGGTCCATGCTTCGAGAGTCTTCATTGACCTCATGTTGACTCTGGCTGAGTTCTGATCGCAGTTCCGAGTACTCATCTTCCTCCCTGAGAAAAAAGGAGAGTCAGCCACCACTGGCAGAGACAGAAGACAAATTCCTAGAGAACATGACTTCTAAAGACAAAAAAGATACTCAGAGAGAAAGCAGATAGATCTACTCCCCCTGCCCACCCTCCTCAGCCATATGGGCTAGGACTCTTTCTAGGCCAAACATTCAGTCATCTCTATGGTCCACAACCACATGTGAAACTGAAAGGTTGCTCCTGTGGGCCCATACCTACACATATGATGAACAAGATCCATCTAACAGCCTAGTAGAAATTTTTTTGCTTTTAAGATTTCCTCAAGAAATTATTTTCCTTCGCCTCCTCAAATTCTGATGTGAGAAAGAACCCAAGACCTGAAAACTGGTGTGAGTACCGAGGCTAGAGTGAGCAAAGTAAACAGGAGCTCGGAGCATTGGAATGTCACATCCCATCACCTGGAGGATCCCGCTGGTGGGCGTTTTCCTTGGAACAGGATATAAGAAGGCGTTGGGGCTGGAGCTACCGGAAAACCAGCACCTCACCTGTGCACATCAACCTGGATACTTAGAGAGGTAAATGCCATACTTACTTTCCCTAAAGCAAGTCCGTGGAGTTAGGGGATAGGAAAAGAGGATGGGCGGAGGAGAAAAATGGACACAGCAAGTGAATGCACGCCACTCAGTGGTCTGTTTCCATCAGCCAGCACTTGTAACAAGAAGTCAACACCTAAATGCTGCCATGTTGTAATGGCACACACATACCCCCGCCCCTTCTCAGCCCTTCACAATCCCTCAACATTTGGTCCCTGAATTAGCTATGGGCATGTGAAGGGACCTTACGATTGTAGTATGTCTTTCAAGGCTCATACATACCTCTTCCTCACACCACCGCCATCACTACACACACACACCGGACACGGACATGGAGAATCAGCCCCGGTATGAAGCATTGATTTTGCAAGTGAACCAGAGCAGAAAATCGTCAGGGGATTTAATTGAGCCTGTGAAGCCCATGGATGTCTGAGAAGAAAACCAGGAAGAGAAGTCCTCTTGGCTTGGCATTTGTTTGACGTTGCAGACACCAGCAGGGATGAGAGTCTACAGCCTTGGGTTTGGGGTAGACCAAGATGGTAATGGGTGACCACTGGAACTTGGGGAAGAGGCAACTGCCATTTTAAGCTGTGGAGACACATCTATAAACTAGAGAATGTGAAGAACTCTCCAGAATTCTTCTCTCGAGAAATTTACATCATCTCAGGGAAGGAATTCTGCTGAGCCTCTGCTTTATAAGGGGTTTTTAATAAAAGCCATCCAGAAATCTGGGGAGGCTTTTAACAGATATTAGGCCCCCAGACATGCAAAATATGAATGAGAATGGGAGCGGTAAAGGCAAAAAACATAGGTTAATGTTCTCTGACTAAGTTAATTATGAGACACCTGCAAAGCTAACAATAATTAGGTTTAGGAATGAAAACAATTAAAAAGTACCTTAAGAGTAGCCTTTTCGGTCTAGAGGGTAATTGTGCCCTGATACATCAGCTCTCTTTTCCATCAGCACTTACAAAATCTGATTTTAGTTAATGGGTGGTTTTGTGTATGATGAATAAATTACCTTTGTTGCATGGCCAATGTAATCAGCTTCAGCTTGGCTGAGATGGTGTTATAGCCAAGAAAGCCAGATAAATGCTGCTGTATCTTTGTATAAATGGCATTTGCAAAATCACTCATAGCCACCTTAAACCTTTCCGGCTCAGCAGGTTCCAAAACACATAGGGCCTGCCAAATCTCGTGCTTTGTAAGGAATTACTTCCAGGGATTACCAGGATGAACTGTATGTAGCAGTGAATAGGGAAGGGCTGGGAGAGGAGATTGTCGGTTGCAGGGGCCATTCCTCACTGCAGTCAGAGCACAGTCTGAGGGACAATCACACTACCCTAGAAATGTCATCTGAGGCCAGAGACTTTCAGGGTCATGAAATGCAAACTAAGGACCCGTGGTCAAAGTATTCGAGCACCAAAATAAGAACAGGAAAGCAAAGACCAGGTGGGTGCGGTCTTCTAGGAGTCAAATGTGTTCACAACTCATTCGAGCCCAAGAAGCCTGGACACAGGTGGAGCATCTGGGTTGCAGGTGAGTAGTAGCCAGGAAAGACTTTTGGGATGGAGCAGCACTCCAGAGAAGTCCCAGGCGAGTAGACTTTAGATAGGTCATGAGGGTGGAAGGGCAAAAGCAAAGACTCAGAGGAGCCTCCAAATGTGAATGAGAACAGGAATGGAGAGGAGTAAGTTGTCAATACCGCTGAAACCCCATGGGGTGCCCAATGGAAACCTTGAGGCTGGAGGGGTGCTCAGGCCCTCTGATCAGAAGGATGGCATTGAAGGAGGCAAATCATTGGAGTTAGGAGAAACAAAAATAAAATGACAAAGTCTAGGGGCACCTGGGTGGCTCAGTGGGTTAAAGCCTCTGCCTTCAGCTCGGGTCATGATCCCAGAGTCCTGGGATGGAGCCCTGCGCATCAGGCTCTCTGCTCAGCAGGGAGCCTGCTTCCTCTTCTCTCTCTGCCTGACTCTCTGCCTACTTGCCATCTCTCTGTCAAATAAATAAAATCTTAAAAAAAAAAAATGACAAAGTCTAGGTATTCAGGGGAAGAAGCATTGCCGAGCTCTCATATGGAATCAGAGAAAATAAGCTGGGGCAAGTGCTGAAGGCCTGTTTTTTTGACCCCAAAGGGAAGGGCTGAGCTGAGCACACAGAATTCCTGGCTAAGATGCCTCCTTGTGGTAATCATAGTACTAAAAGTACAAAACAACTCACGCAAACCAAGTATATGGTAATAAAAGGTAGAAACAACCTTGCGAGATCAGGCAGCATTCTGTACCACAAAGGAGGAGGTAGAAAAATGGTTCAACTGAACCCAAATATTAAAATATGTGCAACCCTTTTGTTTCTCCCACTGACTCTGGTTAAAAAATTCATAGAGTTGCATATCCTTATCATCTCCTAAACATCAGTACTGGCATCATTCCTAAAAAGAGGTTGGGATCTGGGACTAAGAGAGAACAAAAGCCAATTCTCCCAGGGCCTTTTTTTTTTTTTTTTAAGATTTTTATTTATTTATTTGACAGACAGAGAGATCACAAGCAGGCAGAGAGTTAGGCAGAGAGAGAGGGGGAAGCAGGCTCCCCACCAAGCAGAGAGCTTGATGTGGGGCTCGATCCCAGGACCCTGAGACCATGACCTGAGCTGAAGACAGAAGCTTTAACCCACTGAGCCACCCAGGCACCCTCACAGGGCCTTTTGTAAGCAGGACGGTCCATCTGCAATTGCAGTGTGTGTAGACGATGGGAGCGCGGGCTTTTCTCCCTACTGTGTTATCCGGGAGCACCGGTTCACCCAGAGCAATGGAAAAAGAAGCCAGAAAGCCTCTACCAGTCCCAGCAGTTTTACAAAAGCAAGAACTTGAGGTGTGTTTTCCAGGCTGCTCTGCGCAGCCGGAGTCACCTGGCAGGTGACGATGTCTAGCTAACACCACAGCATCAGCATCTCAAAGTGACTTCATCGCCTGCTTCTTTCTGTTGTGTATACGGTAACTCTCGGCAAATGGTAATTTTTTTCTTTGGGGGAAAAAGGATCTCCCCAAAGAATACCAGCTGCTAATGCTGGAGATGAGAAGGAAGAAAACATGAAAAGATCCAGGAAGTGATCATTTTAAGCCAAAAATAACAACGACAACAACCCAGAAGCTTGATCGAGGGATAAATGTTGGTAATTACACACTATTGTGGCAGTTTCATAATTATGGAATTACGAAGTGCTCAGGTGTTTCTCTTTGGAAGATAAAGAATCATCTCACAGGATTCTGAATATACCTTATTTCATTCACCTAGAAGCATCTGTGAAGTGCTTCCAAGGGGCTCTTAGAGTGGCAATGGTGCGTACTTGCTACGAGCTTAAACAAAAGAAAAGTGCTCCCGAGGACGCAAGCATCAGATGGTACCCACCACCTATGTAACTAGCAGTGACTGACCAGCAGAGATCTTAGGGCTCATCAAAGCTGGGATCAGTACTTTTTTTTTTTTTTTTTGCATATAAGATTATCTATTTATTTGACAGAGAGAGAGAGCACATAAGCAGGGGTAGCAGCAGGCAGAGGGAGAGAGGGAAGCAGGCTCTCCGCCAAGCATGGAGCCCGACGCAGGGCTCGATCCTAGGACCCTGGGATCACGACCTGAGCCAAAGGCAGAGGCTTAACGAGTGAGCCACCCAGGTGTCCCAATACCTTTAATTTACAAGTAAGACGACTGAAGCTTCAAGAGGCTAGTGATTTACCCCAAAAGCCAGCAACTAGTGCGCGGTACAGCCTCTTTCCTAAATTTAGGACCATGAATCAACAGTCAAATATGGTGATCTAAGGAGAAGGGTTGGTGGTTGTTGTTGATGACAATTTTTAAAGATTCGTTCTCCTAAGTGGCCAGGGGTGAAATGATCTTATCCGAAAAGGGAAGTACTTCCAGACCTAAAGCTAAAGTACTACGGAATCAGTAATATTTGGTACAAATATTATTTCCTCAGCAATCCCCATGTCTCTTCTGTTTTGGCGTGGACATTCATGCCTTGTCACTGGATTGACTGGTGAACAAGATCCAGATGGACATCTGCCTGCCTTGGCACCTGTCAGTCAATTACGTCCAGCTAACCCCGCCGACCTGACCTGCTGGGGGTTTTGCTGAACTACATCCTTCCTGATAAGTAAAGGCAGATGTGCCCTGACATGCCATCATTGTTTTAAAGAACAAAGTTTTTTTTAGATACAATGAGGAACTGTATTCTTCCCAATTCTCTTAGAGGCTCTAAAGCAGGAAATCGGTGTTAAGTCTCAATTCTTCCTGCAATTACACCTCTTTTTCCATCTAGCGCAAAGGAAGATGGACTCATCTATGAATCTTCTGGTGAATAACGGGGCAAATGGAAAGGTCAGGCTCATGGGGCAGGTATGGGATTTTAGAGACTGGATTATGTCGGAGTAAATGGGACTTTGCATATTATCTTTGTTGCCAAAGGAGCATTTTGCAGACAGAGCAGCGGAAGCGTGAAGGGCCAGATTAGAGGGAGGTAACTCTGAGGGGAGAGGTCAGTGTGGCAGGGCTGCAGCCACTTGAGGTAAAGGGAAGGGGAGAGCCCAGGGTAGGAGCCAAGGCTGAAGGTGAATCTCAGTGACAGAAGAAAAGACACAGGGTCCTAGAAGTTCAAGAAAAACACACCAGGAAGGAAGATTTGGAAGCAAATCCTCTAGAAAAGGACCCAAAATAAGAAAAGGTCGCTGGATTCTTCAGTTAGGAAGTCAGTAGTGATTGTCAAAAAAGCCTCTTCGCTCAGGCTGCTGTAATAAGACACTGTAGATGAACTAGCTCAAGCAACAGGATTTTATTTTCTCTCAGTTCTAGACTTTGGTCTGAAGTCCCAAATCAAGGCGGCTGCACAGTCAGTTTCTGGTAAGGGCTTTCTTTCTGGCTTACTGACGGTTGCCCTGTCACCGTATCCTCATGCAGCAGGGATCGAGTGTGCCCTCGAGCAAGCCCTCTGGTGTCTCTTCTCGGAAGGGCACCCACTACACCCACCATGCGGTCCCCATCCTCATGACCTCAATGGGACAGAGTTAGCTCCCAAAGGCCCCAGCTCCAAATGCTGTCCTATTCAGGGGTAGGGCTTCCACATATGAATTTTTGAATTTGGAGACACAATTTGGTCCTTAGCAAAAAGAGTGTTGGCAAACTGCTGCACTCAGAAGCCAGATAGCTGTGGGCTAACAACCAAGCAATGAAGCAGAAACATGACCTACTCATGACAGCCAGCAGTGAAATGGTGGTGTTAGGAGAGTAGCTTTTGGGCAAAGAAAATAATCTCCTCAGGGGCACCCGGGTAGCTGAGTCCGTTAAGCATCTATCTTCAGCTCAGGTCATGATCCCAGGGTCCTGGGGTCGAGTCCTGCGTCAGGCTCTCTACTCAGCGGGAAGCCTATTTCTCCCTCTGCCTTTGCCCTTTCCCCCGCCCCACTCATACTCTCTCTTTCTAATATATAAATAAAATCTGAAAAAAAAGGAAAGAATCTCCTTGGGAAACAAAAGTGCTCATGTTTAATTTGTTTAGAAATCCAACCCCCCCATTCCAAAGTGAGCTATTGATGTATTTTTCCATTTCCCCATCCCATTATATAATCTCCCCAAGTCAGATGAGCATTAAAAGAAGCCACTCATGCCATATAGTTAAGTTAAAATGCCTGCATTACAAAACATTGTTTGCTATGTGATCCAATTTATTTAAAATATTCATGAATAAAATTTTTTAGGAGGCCATATATACAAAATGTTCAGTGCTTATTCCCAGGAGATGGGATTTAGGATACATTAGGCAGGGCTCAGTCAGGAACATAAACTACACTGGATATTTCAAGTAGAAGAGATTCAATTTAGGCAGTGCCAGTCTTGAGTGACTGTTGGAAGGACCAGAGAAGTGTGGGTGCAGGCCACTGGGAGTTGGGACATTTGCCATCACAGGTGTGGACCCCTCAAAGGTCAGCAAACTGCCACTCCTTCACATCTGCCCACAGCTCCCGGCTCTGAGGTGCAGGACCTCATGGCCACGAAAGTCTCTATTCCGCTGCCGCCATCATGTCCTGAGGAACGACGGCTCCCACCGGCCTTCTGCTTTCCAAACCCATTCAAAGGCACCTCACCGGCGGAACCGAAATCATCTCCAAAACCCAGCTAACCTGGGAAGGAGTCCCACGGGTCCAACCTCTCTGATTCTGGGGAAAGCAGAGAGAAGGGGTGGGAATGGTAGAAAATGTTAGATGACATGTCATAGGCCACCCTCTTTGGCTACTCAACAACCACACACAACCTCTCACACACACTGAAATTTCCAAATGGCAACAGCCATGACCCCAAGCTTCTGTAACCATCCCTCATTCAAATGGGAAGGGACTCACCTTCTCACCAAAATGGGAGACCCCAAGTCCCATCAGTTATTGTCTCCATCGTCAGGCACCCACTGCTCTTCTAGCTCAGTGGCAAATCCTCCTAGATACCAGCTAACCTGACCAATAGATAAGTTTCACCAAAACCAGATCACCTTGTGTAACAGGAGAAATTAAGAAGAGGAAAAAAAAAAAAAAAAGAAATTGAATATATACGCAAATAAGCACCAAAATATGCATAGGCTAGCCGTCTTTTCTACAACTGGCCCTAAGGCTATGGTTGGTGTTGCTAACTTTCTTCTTTCACTCAGAAGTCCCTATTTCTTTTGTGTTTGACCAGCATCTTAGTTGGTTAGAGTTCTTCACCGAGTGAAATAATTAGCAATCTTTATTCCTGAGGGACCTAGCCATGAGTGTATACACCTGACACACCCTACCTGGGATGAGATTGCTTACAGAGTCTCCAAGCAAAGTAAGACTAGCTTTATCAGACAGGGAGGGGGAGTGCTTCTGCAGGATGGGGGTTTGTAGGCGCTAGGTATTTCGATTCGCAGAAACCTACCCGGGTGTCTCGATTCAAATTCTCACCATTTCTTCTTTTCCTATCAATGCTTCAACTTCATCTAAGAGATCTAATGTGGCTGGGATTTCAACTTATATTGGAGTTCAGCCCCCTGTAGTGTCTGATTCTTGGCTGCCTTAGCCCTGTGGCTACAGGATATGAGAGAGTGTGTTCTAGGGTGGCCACAGAAGGTTCCCATTCTGATAGCAACTTGAGATGAAAGTTTACAACTATGAGATTATTTTTTACTTAAGCAATGTAGTGTTGCTTACATATGGATAGTTCATAGCTTACATACACTAGTCCCATACTAATGATTTTTCAGCACTTCCAATAAATTCCTAACTCGGGCCCAAGCCAAAGTGACAAGAAACTCTGTCAGGACCAGCATTGTGCCTGACTAGTGTGACTCTCCATTCTCTACATCCTGGATCTTCAAGGGCCTTTGGGAGTTCCTCCGAGGTACCTGGCTCCCACTTCACTCAGTCTAGCAAGCATCTCAGGACCTGAGGGCAAACCAGTTTCCTGGAGTGCAGGGGGCAGGAGACACCCCTTAGCCGAGGAGCTCAGGGGACCAGAAAAGCCCTGTCTTCCTGGCCCCCATATCTGCGTGGCCTGCAGGGAGTCCCCTCAAGGAGGGGAAGCTCATTTACATAATGAAAACTGGCAGAATTTAATGTGACATCTGCACAGGCACATTAAATAAGAGGCACCAATAAATGTTTACAGTCAAGAAGCTCACCATATTTTAACACGAAGCTGTTTGGCCATTATACTTAATTTAAACATCCTGAAGTTGAGTTTTCCAGGTGATGTGTGATGCTTTTTTTCACTACTCGTCCATTTGCCCTCACCTTCTCAAGTGTTGCAAAGTGCAACATGTTTTAGTGGAAATTACAAACTTGCCAATGTACTCTGTCAGCCTCCTTTAAATCTGCCATAATCATTTCTTTGGTCTGAAAATTCTCCTCTGCTCATGCATTTCTAACCCACAATCACTCTGAAGACCGGGATACAATTTAAAGGCCTTGAGGTTCTAAATTGGAATATGGGATTTCTTGTGTGGCTCCAGTCAGTGCAAAGTTTTCCATGATTTTATCCAGAAAAACCAGAGGCCCATCAGTACCCTCATCAGATAGCCCTGTCATTACTCTCTCAGACTTGGAACAAAACCACCCGAAGTTTCTTCTAACCTGGGACTTCTGGAGGGAGAGTTTAAAGTAGTGGTCTCTACAAATGCCCTGATTGCGGCTTGGACAGACATTCGGTGGGCAAACCCTCTTTCTCCATAAAGGTGGAAGACAACCATTTGCTTTCCTCAGGGCTGTTCTCTGAGGACAGGCAGGGAGATGAAAGCTCTCAGTCTTTGGCTAAGTGGCTCAAAGAGAACCCCCTTCTCTGAACAGCAGGGCAGACACACCCATTCAGAACTGCATGCAGGAGCCTTAGGGGTTAAGTGATTGTTAAGGAAGGCAGGACCCCCAGGAGTCACTTTCATGGAAAGAATATTAAGTAAAAGCAGAGAGACCGTGGTTCTAACTCCACCTCTATCCTCTAACTAGAACTTCAAAGTAATCCCTTAATATAGCTTTTTAAGATTTTATTTATTTATTTGACAGGCAGAGATCACAAGTAGGCAGAGAGACAGGCAGAGAGAGAGGAAGGGAAGCAGGCTCCCCACTGAGCAGAGAGCCCAATGTGGGGCTCGATCCCAGGACCCTGGGATCAGGACCTGAGCCAAAGGCAGAGGCTTTAACCACTCAGCCAGCAGGTACCCCAAAACCCTTAATATTTTTAAGCCCCAGACTTTGTGCCAGTAAAACGATGTATCCAATCTTGTTCCCCACCCGAGTTTGCAAGAGGCCACATCCATGTTGGTAAATCAACTTCAGGTGAGCTCAAGATGTTAGATTATCTAGAAGCAGACATACTCCTTAGTCCTAAGCCACGTTGATAGATCTCTCAAAATTCTCAAGGGAGGCACACAGTTTGCACACTGAGTAGATTCGATAGGTGACAGGGATACTGGGAGGGAGATGAAGGGGCACCCTTCAGAACTCGCTAAACAATCATTTCACCCACTTGCAATTCCACACTCTTATCGGTAAAGGGAGGATTACAACTCCCACCCTGGCTGCCTTCCAGGGGAGCCCTTGGGAGGATCCAGAAGAGAACAGAATAGTGGAGGGAAAAAGGCAGGGTTAACAAGGTGAAGAGACAGGAGTAGATATCAACTGTAAAAGTCTTAGCCGCAAATAAAACATCATCATTACCCATCGGGACCACTTCAGCTCCAAGAGCCAGCTTGGAGCCCAGAGGGGCAGAGAGAAAGCCACGTCTGGGAGCTCACTACCTGATGGTGGTGCCTTGCAAACGGTCTATCTTCTTATTGAGCTCAGCAATGATGCTGTGGAGTTCCGTGATGCGCTCCTCGTACCGAAGCGTCGTCCGCTCCTGGACGTCCTCATGTTCTCTCATGAGGTGGGACTGCTCACACTGGGATCAAGAGAACAACAGAAGTGCCAATGAGTGGATGCGCCAATGGGTGAGTGATGCTAAATTTTATGGTCTCGAACCACCACAACCTCAACGTTGAGCATGCTCCAAATAAACACAGACCCGCCCGTTGGCCCGGAATCCCAGAAGCCACAACAGCAGCTGAATTTTAGAAGGCATCTCCCGCCTGCCCCACCCCCTCGGCTCCCACCCCTGTGGACAAAGTCTTCGCCTTTGTAGCATTCATTCTGTCTTTGGGAGAAAGCCTGTCTGCCATTACTCAAAATCTCTGTGGCATTATCCAAGTCTCTTGCTTTTCCCCTCACCAAGAAGTAGGCAAGTATCCAAGCTGGATCCATCAGTTACCTTCTTTGGGAACGTGAATCTTGAGTGAATGGACTTAAGATTGCCTGGAGTTCGCTCACTTGACTGAGGGGACTGAAAAGACTGTCCTTTCCTTCCCGACATCTATACCCCAGAGCTTCCCCGCCATGTTTCCTCATGGATGTTTAGTTCTCTTTGTACCAATGCATTCCTTTTTTTTGTTGTTTTTTAATTTTTATTTTTTTAATGAAAATTAATGTATTTTTAGTTCATTCCCTTTTTGCTGACATTGCTGGGGTATGTTTCAGCCACTTTTCAACCAAATAACCCTAAGTGGTATGACAACATTTCTTATCTGGCTGGTGTATCTGTAGACTTCATTCTTTCCAATATCCTTTTCTACCAGACTATGAACACTGGGAAGGCAAAAACAAGGTGTTTTCAATGATTGAGCCCAAACACCTGGCAAATGGCTTGCTTCACTGTGGGTGATCTAGTAGTGTTATGGAATGAATCAATGGCAATATATCACACCGTCAAGGAGACCACTTTGCAGAAACAATGACAGGAGAAACTGAGGCGCTTCCCTTGCTCAGCATTTGATGGTCTCAGAGGCAGCAGATGCTAGAAAAACATTTTCATAGCTAGAGTTTAAATCCTAGGGAACCTGCTCATCTTCACTTCTCTGCTCCCTCCTCAATGTCCCACCAGTCACTGTGTGCCTTGAGTCTCATTTGCATAACAATAAAACTCATCAGTGATGGAACAAGGGATCCAACTTCTATCCCTGTCTACTGCATTCAGCCCTGATTAATTTCCTGTCCATCAGAGGAATTTTAATTTCATTTTAGTGAGGTTTTCCTAATGCCAAGAGTCATACGTACTTGACAACTTTGCATTTTCAGGGCTGGTAGCAGCCGGGCAAGGGTAAGACTTCTCACCCACCAGGTCCAACATCCTCCTCCCACCCTAAATCTGTTGCTTCCTATGGTGGCATAACCCAGAAGCTACAGGACAAATGCCTTCTGAGATGAGCACAACACCACACTAAGCCCCACTCCCTATTGAAAGACGTATGCAGCAAGTAAATCTGCGCAATATGGTGGTACAAGTCACGGCGGAGACCACACCTACAAACCACCTTGATGTGTATTAATGCAGTATCGTCCTGGGGGTTGCTCAGAACTCCAGGAACAAGACTGGAGGCAAGGAGGTGGTGGAGACTATATCCCAGACCTTCGTGAGCTGGCTGCTTTCAGAGAGACAGTGATGGCAACTTCTGTTCTGAGGGACAACCTGCAACATCAGATAACCTCTCCTCGAGGTCGAACACAACTGGAAGTATGTGGCAACTGAGGCAAGGATAAAGTCACATCTATAGGGAAACTTTCCTAAACAGATCAAAACCCTAACGGGCCACAGATACTCTTTCCATGAAGTTATGCCTTTTCATCCATGATCCATCATATTTTACAGGGAACAACACAAGCCCACAAAATGACAATGTGTCAGAGACAGTATGTGTCAATCAGTGAAAAAGGTTCATATTTCTCTGGAGCATACGCACAGCTGAATACTGTTTCTCTGCATTCCTGCAAAATATCTATGAGCTTTTGCTATTATGCTTTATTCCCACCTTCAAAGTGTGTGTGTGTGTGTGTGTGTGTGTACGCGTGCGTGTGCAGTATGTATGTGTGTCAGTGTAGCTGGCACTCTTATGAAGACCACCAGTTTTAGATCTTAAAATATTTACAAGATACTGCCCAGCCTGACCTGACTCTCATTTATGCTGCGACTCCTACTACACTGCACTCTTATTGGCTCCTCCTCCTTGGTTTTCCATATTCAGCTCTCTAGGGCTACAGATCACTGTGAAACGGGGCGCCTGCATGGCTCACTCGGTTAAGCATCTGCCTTCAGCTCAGGTCATGATCCTAGGGCCCTGGGATCGAGTCTTGCATTGCGATCCTTGCTCAGTGTAGAACCTGCTTCTCCCTCCGCCTGCTATTCCCCCTGCTTGTGCTGACAAATAAATAAAATCTTTAATTAAAAAAAAAAAAAAGCCACTGTGAAATGCTTCCCTTTACATACTCAACAGCTCTCACTCTCCTTTATCTTTTTTTTTTTTTTTAAGATTTGTATTTATTTGAGAGAGAGAGAGAAAGTGTGTGAATAAGCACCAGCAGGGGGAGAGGCAAAGGGAGAAGCAGACTCCCCACTGAGCTGGGAGCCCAACTGGGGCTTGATTCCAGGACACAGGGATCACAGCCTAAGCGGAAGGCAGATGCTTAACTGACTGAGCCACCCAGGTGCCCCTCTCACTCTCCTTTAATTCCCCACTTACAGTTCCTCCTTCATAGTCTTTAGAAGTCAACAGTCCACCACCACCACCACCAAGGTAGACCAGAAACTACAAAATTCATGTTAAAACGGAGGTGTGCCCCAGTCAGAATGGCTAAAATGAACAAGTCCGGAAATGACAGATGCTGGTGAGGATGCGGAGAAAGGGGAACCCTCCTACACTGTTGGTGGGAATGCAAGCTGGTGCAACCACTCTGGAAAACAGCATGGAGGTTCCTCAAAATGTTGAAAATAGAACTACCGTATGACCCAGCAATTGCACTCCTAGGTATTTACCCTAAAGATACAAATGTAGTGATCCGAAGGGGCACGTGCACCCGAATGTTTATAGCAGCAATGTCTACAATAGCCAAACTATGGGAAGAACCTAGATGTCCATGAACAGATGAATGGATAAAGAAGAAGTGGTATATATACACAATGGAATACTATGCAGCCATCAAAAGAAATGAAATCTTGCCATTTGGGACGACGTGGATGGAACTAGAGGGTATCATGCTTAGCGAAATAAGTCAATCGGAGAAAGACAACTATCATATGATCTCCCTGATATGAGGGAGAGGAGATGCAACATGGGGGTTAAGGAGGTAGGAGAAGAGTAAATGAAGCAAGATGGGATTGGGAGGGAGACAAACCATAAGTGACTTGTAGTCTCACAAAACAAACTGAGGGTTGCTGGGGTGGGCGGGGGTTGGGAGAGGTGGGTGGGGTTATGGACATTGGGGAGGGTATGTGCTGGGGTGAGTGCTGTGAAGTGTGTAAACCTGGCAATTCACAGACCTGTACCCCTCGGGAAAAAAAAATATATGTTTATAAAAAATAAAATTTAAAAAAAAAATGGAGGTGTGCCAATATTCACACAAGAAAATGGCACACAATCTACTACTGATAATCACCAAGACAACCCCAGACACCCCTGGTGACTCTTGAGAGCTGCGGGTGGGGGAGGGGTGCCCAGGTTGCCGGGAGAGCAGATGGCCGATGCCCAGATAACGAGAGCGTGCTATCTGGTACTGTACCACCTTCGCCCCTGCCTGTAACTGGGAAGTCTGCCTGGAGGGTATGAGTATGAACAAGAGACAACAGGAAGCCTGATGATTCAGACAGAACAGCACTTGTAGCTAAAAGGAGACAAAAGACTCATAATGTATATTTGGAACTAGGGGTTCATTTGGGAGTAGCAACAAGACTCTATCGGAGGAAGAAAAGTTCTTAGCTGAAGGCAAAGATATCTGGTTTATGTTCCTATATTTTTTCCATAAGTATGGTTTCTTAAAATAGTGGAAAGCCTCTATAATTTAATTCTTCCTAAAAATAATAGATACAGCTTGATTTCCCATAACATTTAAGATACGAGGCTGAGTGCTACAGAGTGGGGATCACTAGGACATGTCCTCCGAAGGGAAATGCAGTCACAGCTTCCAGGTGGAATTCTCTGCTGGAGAATAAGAAACGTGGACAGAAACGGGGGGTGGGGGGGAGGAGAGATGGTAGAATGGTACCCTGGGGATCCTTCACACAATGAAAAGAGAACACTGGAAAATAATTATTGAAATGCCCAGCCTCAAGGAGAATGGATGGCTTGAGAAGATATTGTCCAAGGCTCATCCATACAAATCAACATCCCCTTGAGGTATCACATTGAACACTTCACCCATTCTGCACACACTGGTGGGACCCAGACAAAGATAGGTTGAAGCCCGAACCTCCACGCTGCAGGGTGGGGCGGGGCGGGGTAAAGGAACGGGGCAGGAGAAAACAAGCCATTACCTGCTGGAGCCCGAAGAACCCAACAGAACACCCTTGTTCAACAGCTCCCACTGAACTGCACAAGACCAACCCCGGGAAAGGGGCACCTCAGTGCAGGAAAAGTGGGAGATGAGTGGCGGGACCCAAGACAGAGCCATTCTGCACGTGATCGGTGTGTTCCTGCGCCGGCCAGCTCCCGCAGCCGCAGGACTGTCCGTTCCAGTCTTGCCCAATTTTATAAGCACACTCCGGTATGGTGACTGACCCATGCCTCTCACCACCCTGAGTTTTCATGACCGGTGAGGGCCTTGTTTAGCCTGGGAGGGCATGTGGTTTTGAGTGTTCTCTTTCCTAGGGGCACAGGCTAGGTCAGGCTGGATACTGCACCTCCATCTATGAGTCACCTCTGGGCACGTATTCCCGTAAAGCCTCAATCCAGACGGTACTACAACGATGACAGCTAAACAGGATAAAGGAGTAGGACTTCTAGATTACTCCTTCATGCTTGCACACATTTCTTGACTTTTAAGTTACAAGTCGAGGTACTTTATATACATATTAAAAAG